GTCTGCTCTGATTTCATCATCATTTAAAAAAATCATCTATTATTTTTCACTTTATGTTTCTGTGTGGGAGCAAACTGTTGAAATCCATACTTAATGTATACTAAGCTGATCTTCTGTATATTAAGAGAATCGAAAATGAATTTTGATGTGAATGGAAGGGGAGAGGGAGTGGGAAAGGGGAGGGTTGTGGGTGGGAGGGACGGTATGGGGGGAAAGCCATTGTAATCCATAAGTCGTACTTTGGAAATTTATATGCATTAAATAAAAGTTTAAAAAAAAAAAAAAAAATGACTGATCCATTTCTTTGAAAGGCAGAGCTAGAGAGACAGGGAGACACACACACACACACACACACACGGGGGATGAGGGGAGAGACTGACTGACTTCCAAACTACCATCTGCTGATTCACTCTCCAAATAACCCCAACAGCCAGGTGTGGGCCAGGCTGAAGCCAGGAGCAGGGACTCCACCCTTCTCACTTTTGTGGCAAGGGTCCAAGTACTTGGGCCATGTCTCTGCCTTCTCAGGCACATTATCGGGCAACTGGATCAGAAGCAGAGCAGCTGGACTTTAACCAGCATTCAGGGATGGGATGCTGGTGTCACAACTAACTTGCTGGAGTACAAGCTGGCCCCCACCCCCTGTCTGGCATTTTATAATGAATAGACCCCTCTTCAGGAAAATTAAAGAATCTTATCTCTCTAAACGTTTGCCACAGAACCTCAGCACAGAAGCCTGATCCTAGGCAGAAAAACAGAAGAAACCGTAGCAGAAAAACAAAACAACTGCACCAAGCAAGCCAAATGCTGGGCTCTGCCTGATGCAGTTTCAGGTGTTGGGAGGCATTGTGAATGCAGGTGTGCGTGCACGTGTGTTTAGAAGGCCATCTGTCAGCATGGTGATCCCAGCTCACTCAGAGTCAAGAGAGCCAGGCATGAAGTCAGGAGCTGAACTCAGAACGCCCTCCCTAAGTTCTCCAATGTTGCAGGCACTGCTCTGAGTGCTCAGATCACAGAGCTGCAGGAGACAGGGCTGCACTAGAGGGCTGGCAGAGCTTAAAGCCCAAAAGCTCCCATGGATACATTAGGAAAAGATGACAATCCATTACGATCACTGCAAAGAGAATTCCTGAAGTCCCCAGAAGACCTCATTGTCCTGGCTGGGGTACAGATGGCTTCCCAGAGGAGCTATGGAGTCCGCTAGAATTGTCGATCCTGCCTCACTGAGAATTGTTTGCTGGAGCATTGCTTGTAACAGCAACACAAGGGAATGCTCTCATGTACTCTATCTACCTTGTCTGTTAAGAGTTTTGCATAAATGCTTCTTTTGATTCTCTGAACCCAACTACAAGGTAAGTGCCACTTTTTTTTCATATAGAGGATCAGAGGTGTGAAAAGCTGCCCAGGGAGCCCCAGCAAGTGGCCATGGTGACAGTCACGCCCAAGTCTGAAGATGGGGCCGTATCTTTTTGGGCTAGACCAGGTCTCTCTGGTCCAGGTCTCTCACCTGGACCCTGTGCAGACCTGGATTCAAAGAAGTAGAAGCCAGGGGAAAATCAGAGCAGCAGGCCACTGGGCAGTTTCCCCTCTTGTAGGAAACTTCTAGACATCTCCCAGCTCCCTGAAAGCTGCTTAACATGCTCTCTTTGGGTTATCTCTGGTTGATTTTGCCCTTCTGGTTAAGTTGCAGGTGATGCAGGCCAACAGCAAGATCAGAGAAAGGATTTTCAGGGCATGGAGGTGTCCAGGGAATGTGCACTCATCAGAGAGGCAGGTCCACAAAGGGAAGCCTGAAGAACAGAAGGTAGGAAGATCCCAGGGCAAGTGGGATCCACTGCCCAACACACACAATGTTTTCTCGTTAAGTTAGGTTCACAGTCCCTCTTGGTAGATGAGATGTTGGAGCTCAGGGTTAAGAAAACTCAACAAAAATCCTACAGGTGATGAGAGAAAGAGCTCAGAGTCCACCTGCATCCACCTGTCTATTCTACAGCCTGAGCTTACTTCCTACCTTTCTGAGACTTTTAGAACTGTTGAAAGAAGTTCATAGGAGAAGTCATCATCACCATCAGACCAGCTCTGGGACTAGTGTGGGAACAGAAAGCGGGGAGCCACTGTGTAGTGGCCTACACACAGTGCAGGGAAAAAATCTAGTGCTTTTAGTTAGTGACAATTCTGGAATTACAAACAAACAGGAAGTCTCTTTAAAGAAAGTACCAGGGCTTTCCATAAATCCTTTCTACAGGGTAGAATCATGCATGTATTTAGCGAATGTTCCTTAGGCAATGGTGTTGTCCTGGCTTCCACATGCCAGGCCCTAGGTTTTCTCCTGGTAACAACACCAGGACCCCAGGAAACTCATGGAGGTGATGGGGAAGGAGTACTATTAACAGCAGAATGACAGGGTATTCACTGTTGCACCCAGGCAACAGTAATCTGCTGACACTCTTCAGAGGAGTGAGAACACAAAGTGGGAAGCAAGGTTGGAACACTGGGGGAGGGTTGCAGGCAGTCGGGGAGCGGGTGACTCCTCTGGAACCTGGAGTTGGGTGGGCTGGCACCACACTGCCTAGGTCCCTGGACTTGGGTGTTTGGAAGGGCTGTATCCCAGCTTGCAGGATACAGAATCTCAGATCTGGAGAGGCCGTGAAAAACTCTTCTACCCATTCAATGTTTGAACCTCCCTGGTGGTCTTGCTGATAAGAGGCCTTCAAAGCACAGTTTGCACAGCTCCAGTGATGGGGGGCTCACCCACTGGGCACACTGAGACCCATGACTGGGCCAACACCCTCTTGCATACAGCAAGCCCTTGGGGTCCCATCTCCGTATTCATGGTTTCTTCCCCAGGACATGGTCCCCTCAGCTGTGCCTCCTGCAATGAGGTTTCAAATCCCTTTACAGATCTTACCTTGAGGCATGCAGGTATGCCTACATGTCTCTCACAGTGCAGGGTCCAGGCCTTCTAACAGTGTTCCTGGTGCAATCATTCGAGCCTCACCACAGCTCTGCTAGGCTGACAGCTGGGATTCTTAAGGGGCTGCTTGACTTCCAAGTCTGAGCTCTTTCCACATGTTTGGATGAGTGTGATCAATCGTGCCTATTCACTCTACTTCTTTTTACACAGGTAGTAGGTAGCAAAGTCATGTGCACTGCTGCTAAGAGCCTCCATTAGCTCTCATTGTACCTGAATTCCATGTACTTGCCTTCTGAGTGCCAGCCTGAGGTCCTAAATACAAGTTCTGGAATTCACAGCAGCTTACAGTGGAACCACAGAGCTGGGGGTTTTCCTCTTTTGTCTCAGATTCCCAGGAGTCCCCAAAGCTCATGGGATCGAGGAACCCCGATCTTGTCCTTAATGCAGTACACCTCCCAGGCTCTGCAAACCTCCCACGCGTGGCCTTGTCCACAATGCTCTCCCCATTGACTAGAGCCTTAGGTACCTCAAATGCCCAGATCAGTCCCTCTCCTGTGTCTTATTGAAACTCAACCACTTTAAAATGGGTTGGGCACTTGGCTGGAAGTGTTCTACACAATCCATCACGCCCCCATGCATGGGGCCAGACTTTCCATCCAGACTGGCGCCTCTACCATTTTTGCCTTACAGGCCCTTCCCCCACAGCATGCAGTCCCCAGCCGCACGGGCTGTGACACTCTTTGCAGAAGCGGGTTCCCTTCCCCAGGCTGCAGATGCAATCTCAGCGTGAGTCGCGGTCACAGAAGCCCGGCAGCAGCGAGGTGTACTTACACTTACAGGTTGACTTTTTGGCACATCATAAACACCTTCCTTCTTTTGGCTGGTGGGAACCTGTAGGAAAAATCAAATTCAACACGATCAAAACATCCCGTACTCCACTCTGAAAGAATACAGCAGCCAGACTTGAGCTCCAACCTGGCTAAGTGTATGTGAGAACGGCCGCTGGGGCCAGTCCAAGGTGCCCAGCCCCTAGCGGGGGCTCTAACTGTGGATGCATCAGGTCAGGGTCCTTTCCTTAGGAGAATGGGCTAGGAGAGGGGTGAGCAGCATCTATCAAATGTTTGCAGAGTGTCTCTGCCATTGAGCTCCTCACAGAATCACAGAATAGGGAGCTTGCACATACCTCAGGGTCATCGTGAAAAAAATAATTGTTTCACTGAAGACAAAGCTAGAACCAGGGATGTGCTCTGACTTGCTCAAAGTTAGAAACAGTTCGTGGTTGGGCTTAAATTGTTCATTGCTAAGACTGACATCCAGGCTATTCAAAGTACATTTTCAGCATCCCCAACCCAAAAATCTTTCAGGTTGAAAATTTTGGATTAGGGATGTTCTGTGGGCAAAGTCTCTGCAAATAGTTCAAAATTCAAACAAACAAACCCAGTCCTGTTAACAATTCTGGCCTCAGGCATTTTGGATAAGGGATGTCTAACCTGTATAGCAAATATCAATGCTAGCTGTATAGCAAATACCAAATGCAGCTTCTACTGGGATCACATACAAGCCTTCTGATGATTACGGAAATGTCTGCACTCCAGAAATGGGCCTATAAGTGGTATGAAAAGCACAGGGCTAGGATCTAGAAGATCATCACTTCTAACATTTATCTGCACCTTCCTCCTTCCCTCATTTGTCCATTAGGTCTTTCTGAAGGGCACCCAGCTCCTCTGAGCTTCGCTATCATCAAATGGCCTCTATCAGCTCTGCCTTTTCTAGGTGATAGGAAGGACCCAGTGAGGAAACAAATCAGAAATACGCAAAGTGTGCACAGGTACCACAGTGCTGGGATGCACTGGAGCGATAATATGCCGTTCACACGCATGCGGACATATTTCACGATGCTAACGAGAGTGGGTATGTTTACGACTGTTCTAATGAGTCGGTCTGGGCTGTGCACTGCAGCAAGCCAGACTGAAAGCACTCATTCGTTGTTCCTCCCTCAGCAACTGCCGCAGCAGCTTAGCCCACACCTCCAGCACAGGACCAGCTGGCCATGGCCCTCTTTCCATCAGATCTGGAGCTCCTGAAGGGCAGTGCCTAACACCCAGGAGGCATTCAGTACAGGTCTCCTGGGAAGATACACCACTGACCAATGCAGAGGATGGCGATCCAAGATGGAAAAAAGAAAAAAAAAAAAAGATCGGTGCTCCTACTATCAGTCCCTTTATTATTTTCACTCTCATTTACCTTAAAACCCTCCTAAGAGCCCTTGGAAGTTGGCATTATCATTTGCACTTGAAAGGGTAGAAAGGGAAGCTCAGAGCTGTGAGGGCCATTGCCCAAGGCTTCAAAACTGGTGCTGTTCAAAGCCAGCTCTTCCTGTCTACCAAGGAAGATATTAGTAATAAGTGTGCTAGCAAGGACTGGGCACTTCGTGTGTGCCAGGTACTGTTCTGAACACTTGTGTTTCACACACATTCTCGTGTAATCTTCAGAACAAGGCTAACATAAAGATGTCAGTGGTTCCTGAGATGCAGAAGAGCGGGCCTGGACAGGGTCCCACGGTCGGTGAGCGGGGAAACCCAGAGGTGGAGTCCAGGCAGCCTGCCATTGGCGGCTAAGCTACTCAGATAGCTATTTTGGGTGGATAGGGTTTTGTTTGTGTGTTTGTTTGGTCCACACATCTTCTCTTCCCAGCAGTTCATGTGCATTCTTGCAGAAAACGGAACCATGAGTGAGCACAGCCGTGCGCGTCCAGAGCTGATCTCGGACACCTCCGTTTGCAGGGGGCCAATGAAGAATGTCATTTCTTTACTTCTGATCACTGAGCTTTATTGAAAGGGATTCCTCTCAGAATGCCTGCAGAGTCCTTGCTAATGAGGGCCAACAAATTCTGAGAGCTCACTTTTGTTTTGACTAGCTCACCCTTTAGTGAGCAAAATGAACAGCGGTTCTGCTCCCCGTAATTCACTGCTCACTACGGACACTTAGCACAGTTGAACCGTGGCTGCCTCTCAATTACCCCTGCAAATGGAGGAGAAGTGGGCCGAGGGATAAACCCAAACTGTGCATAATTGAAAAAGCTTTTCCAGTTGGCTCTCCCACGGGTGAGGTATCAATCTGCCTGTTTGTCCTTTAAGATTGATCTCAGCCAAGACATCTTCCTGGAAGCCTTGCCTGAATCTCTCAGCCTGGCTTGGGGCCTTCCAATGAACTCTTGTAGCCTCCAGTGTGGCCTCTGTTTAAAATATAAAAGGTACCACTTTCGATGTAGCTCCCTGCTAATGGCCTAGGTAAGCCGTGGAGGATAGTCCAAGTTTTTGTGCCCCTGCTCCCATGAGGGAGACCCAGAGAAAGTTCCTGGCTCCTGGCTCCTGCCTGGCCCAGCCTTTGGTCGTTGTGGCCATCTGGGGAGTGAACCAGCAGATGGAAGACTGATATCTTTCCCTCTCTGCCCTTCCCTCTCTGTAGCTCTGCCTTTCAAATAAATAAATAAATAAATAAATCTTAAAAAATAAATAGATAAAAGAGTTGTCATAGTACCTGTTCTTTCCAACTCAAGAGTTCCTGGAAAGGCCAAAATTAGGTGACGTGTGAAACTACTTTGTACTATGAGGCTCGGCATTGTTTTAAAAAGATCATTTGGGGGCCGGCGCTGTGGCTTAGCGGGTAAAGCTGCCACCTGCAGTGCTGGCATCCCATATGGCCGCCTGGTTGAGACTCTGTTCCTCCACTTCCAATCCAGCTCTCTGCTATGGCCTGGGAAAGCAGTAGAAGATGGCCCAAGTCCTTAGGCCCCTGCATCCACATGGGAGACCTAGAAGAAGCTCCTAGCTCCTGGTTTTGGATTGGCCCAGCTCCTACCATTGCAGCCATTTGGGGTGTGAACGAGCAGATAGAAGACCTCTCTCTCTCTGCCTCTGCCTCTCTAAATATGCCTTTCAATTAAAAAAATAAATCTTTAAAAACAGTAAAAAGATCACTTGTCCTGCAGACAATGATCACTATCAACACAGCTGGGCAGCGTGCTCCAGGAGCAGCGGTGCTGTCTCTGGAGCAGAGTCTCCCATGTGAACAGCCTGGGCAGGTGTGGTTACAGCCCTCTGCCAGGTGCGGTTACAGCCCTCTGCCAGGCTCCGGTATTCAGCTTCACTTACTACACTGCGGACAGCACCCGGTGTGGACGGGGCGAGGAGGGACTGAGAACTAGCACTGATGAGGAGCCATGCTGAGACCATCTTCACTTGACGATTTCACATCCCTTCCAGGAGCAGGTAATATGTTGTCCTCATTTTACAGCCCCAGAAAACTGAGATACACAGCTTCTGTACTTCACTCAAAGTCAAACACAGTGTAAGGATGAGGTCCAGGTGTGTGGACCGCATTGTAGAGGGCAGGGAGACAAAAGCAGAGACTACGGGGAGGCAGTCCGAGGTGTCTCAAACAGTGCTAGCTGCTCAGGTGGAATAACTGAGACACTTGGAGTTGGTTCTAATGAGAAAAAAAAAAAAAGAATGACGCTCCTAATAGCAGCTCTTTAAAAGCCCAGCCTTATCTTTAGGCCCAAGAGCTTATCTCTTGTTAAGTAAATTGAGCCCCAGCGGACTGGCCCTGCAGGAGAGGAAGCTGACCAGAGGTCTTTCCAATAGCAGGCGATAAAATATTCATTCCCTTAAATGCTCCCTTCCTGTTAATGATGGACAGATGGGAAGATTTGGAGGTCAGAGCTGTTAAAACAAGTGTGATTTTTAGATAAGGACAGAAAGGGACCCAGAATCTAACTGTGAAACTCAGAATCGGGAATCCTGAGCTGAAAAGAGCCTTGGGATTTATTTATTTATTTACAGACATTAGAGAGTCCTGCAATTGTGGGTTCTGCTTCTTGCTCGCTCTGAGCCCTGCTTTACTTGTCTGTAAGGTAGGAGCTAGGAATTCAAGCCAAAGGAGGTTCTTGAGGGCGATGGTAAGATATTGGATATGAAGCTCCATTCACGGGGAATACTCATAATCAGTTGCACAGGTGTGTGTACACACACACACAGCACTTCTAATAGTCTTGTTGCTCTACAGAAAAAGGTGTGGGAGTTGGAGCCCCTAGCTTGCAAAAATGCCGGTTTTGCTTCTGTACTCTGGCTTGCTTGCTTGCCTGCTGTAACGCCATGATAGGCCTCATCCTGGACCAGGAAGGAGGCAGGCAGGGTCCTTGAGAACAAAGAAAGTAAGCTCCCCTGGAATTTATGGCCCAATGCTTCCCGCCAGTTCCTCCCATGCCATCTCCTTTGTGTGGCCTTCCCGCCACATAACGTATATAGTCTTTAAGTTTAAATGAATCAATGCACATGTTAGGTCCTAATACCTTGCCATATAGAGAATAAGAAAGTAACCTACGCACAGGAGATGACCTGCACTCTTGTAAGTGCGAGGCTATAAAAACCTCTCTTATGCAAACAAGAGGGCCTTTTGCCTGTGCACTGCTGTGTGGGGGCAGGGGGTCTCAGCCGGCTGGTAACAAATACACCTCTGCTTTTGTATCCCTGGCTGTGCCTTGTGCATTGATTGGGAAATTAGGACTCAACAAAGGTAATGTGCTTCTCCACACAATCGGAGTCCTGCAGTGCTAAGAGCAGAGAAGGACCTTATCTGAGGGTTTCCTGAGTCTTGCTCGCTCACTTCTCTCTCAGAGGAGTAAGCTGACGCTCAGAGAGGGAAAGGAAGCTGACAGGTTAAATCAATGGCCGAGCTGACACTGGTCCTAAGATGGGGACTCCACATAGCCAGGCTAGAAGATGCTTCTGCTTTGCATTCTACACATGAACTTGATCCGTTTTGACAGATGTTAACTCGCCTAACGTGTGAGTCATGGAGAAACTTTCACCCTGTTTTATGCCTGGGGAAACTGAGTTTCAGAGGAAGTAAGTGCCTTGTCCAGACCACATAGACAAAGGTGGTTGGTGACAGAGCCAGAGTTACAGCCCAGCTCTCCACCAGCTTACACCAGTCCTTTCCCAGTACATAGACACCCTGCACTGGGCTCAGTGGAGCTCTGTCTACTTCCACTCCCTCTGGATTCAGAAACCGCACATATGCAAGGCCCCGCTTCCTTTAAAAGGAGCTCTCTCATCCTAGGACGGCGGGTTACCAGCTCTGATTTTAAGGTTGTACCTTAAAAGCTGATGCTGGGGACAAAGGCAAGTTTCCTTTTTCAAGAGAGAAACCTTGTAAGCAATAAAACCTCAAAGCCCAATCTCCCATTTGAACAGAATCCAAACAGATTCAGTGGAAACAGATGACTCTATCAGGCTACTTTATACCCAAATGTTGGTAGAACTAACACATTTTGCTCATTTAGAATTCTATGCAATGATAGATATTGAATATCTGTTTTATTTTTATTATACAAGTAATACATGTCCAAGGCAGAAGCCCACACAATAAAGAAAATTAAAATCACTTAGTAACTGTATTGTTTCCTTTTTCTACAATGTTTATCTTCCAAATCAGAACTAAAATTCAAATTAGTGAAAAATTGCACATTGTCGTATTCATTGTGCTGTCCCTCTCCGTCTCTCAGATATATGTAAGAAAAAATCAAAATGAAGAGTATGGCAGAAGAAGTCTGAGTCGGCCTTCATGTACATGCTTGGGTACAAATCTTGACACAACACTGAGGAGCTCCTCAACTTCCCAGGTATTCCCCTGTACAATGGGACTAAAATACCCACTTTATTGCATATTTATAACAATTAAGTGAATTAGAAAGCATGTTCAATATTCCTCACATGCCAGACATTTGAGAACATTAGTTTGCCTTTCCTTTAGAAGGAAGGCATGTGATATTTAGTTGTCCTTTTCTTTTATTCATATTTATATTCACAATTTTATTCATACTTAGAGTCTCAATATGTTTTCAAATTGTAATTTTTAAAAAAATTTTATTATCTGAGAGGCAGAGTTACAGAGAGAGGCTGAAAGGCAGAGAAAAAGGTCTTCCATCTGCTGGTTCACTCTCCAAATGGCCTCAATGGCCGGAGCTGGGCTGATTCAGAGCCAGGAGCCAGGAGCTTCTTTTGGGTCTCTCACATAGGTGCAGGGGTCCAAGAACTTGGGCCATTTTCCAGTGCTTTCCCAGGCCATAAGCAGAGAGCTGGATGGGAAGAGGAAAAGCTGGGAGACGAACTAGTGCCCATGTGGGATGCAGGCAGAGGTTTAGCCTACTATACCACAGTGCTGGCCCCTAAAATTATATTTTTGAATATATACTTTATTTTCAGTACCAGAGATGAATTCTTTAAAAATTTGAAGAGCACATGCTTTTGAGAAATAAAGAACCCTACTGTATGTCAAATAACAACTATTTATTACATTACTAAGAAAATATTTGATTTTTGCTTTTACTATGAATACTTAAGATTCATTCAAAACTGAAATGTTGTACCCAAGTATCCAACTGGTCCTTAAACATTTCAACAACAAAGCATTGAAAACTACTGGTGAAAAAGCAGGGGAACTAGAAGCCAAATCACTCAAAGGTATTTTTAGTAAGCCTGAAAATGACCCAAAGCCCAGCTGTTCTTCAGCCCTGCCAGTACACTGATGCACTGGCTGGTACTGGTGTAACAGAAAGAGAGGCAAGCAATTGTGTACCTGATAAATGTTTTCTTCCGTTTCAGGATCACGGATTGGCTCATGTCCAGCCTCAAACACAATGTACTATTACAGGAGCAGCCAGAGAGGAAAGGTCAGAGGTGAAAAAGAAAGAGGGAAAAAAGCATTTGGGATTCAAGAAACAAATCACAGTGAGCATTAAAAGTTACAGGCATTAAAGAAAACACATTAAAGACACCATTGGATTCCTCTAGTACAATGTGCCTTGCTAAGAAAAACACTGCCCAAGTCTGCCATTCAGTCCAGTAGCTGTGGCTGTGCAGTGCCTGTAGCCCTGTCTGGAGAGACTGCCTCTCCATGCACTGGGGCTCTGTCTCAGTCACATTTGAGCATGCTGGCATTGCTGCTGAGAATGCTGTCCCATAGAGTGTGCTGGGGACACAACATTTGGCAAACTCTGGGTCACAACAGAGGTCCGAAATTAACCTGGACGAGCTCTGAAGTCCCAAGCTCCCTCATCCCATAAATCTCACCTTGTTTTACATTCTCAGTGTTAAATACTGAAAACCAGCTTGCCAATGTCCATGCTTTCCAAAAGAACATGTGTCTTCATTCTTTCTGAGCCTGCCAGATAGGGGCTGAAGCCTTATATTATAAGCAAACTCTTGACCCACAGCATTCAAAAGCAATGACACACCATGGAGTGCATCTGACTGGTTTGCCACAGATGCTAGATACTTTTTCCAGCTCAAATATCTCTGTGATTTTGCATCTGCCATGGCAGCACCAGCTTTCTTTGTGAAAACATGCATTTATATAATAAGGGATACACACATATAGCATCTACATATCTCAGAAATGTAAGCTTGAGATTTTCCGTTGTGTTCTAAAAGGTAGGTTGGTTTTGACTTTTTCCCCTTTTCTGTATCTTTGCTTGCACAGAGCACATACTTAGGCCCAAGAGAGGTCACCACTCCATGCACCGCTGGGGCTGCAGACTTTACAGAGTCCAGAGACAAGCCCAGGCAGAGATGTCTCTGGAATCACCCTTGCCCTCCTCCCAACAGCCCTATGGCATAAGCCAAGACATCCAAGGGACATCAGGGGGTCAGAGAGATTTCTCACAGTCTCTGAAACACTCACATTTGTGCTCAAATGTCACCCACTGCCAGGTCCCACCTTAGTCCTTTACTGAGGGAAGTCCCCTCGTTTTTTCACAGGCTCTTTAATGAACTCAGAATATTCAAGAGATGCTTGTGCATGCAGCTCTGGGATCAGACTTTTAGATTGTGGAGGGGACTGAGGCAGGGGCAAGAGGGGGAAGCACATCTCCAAATCCCAGGTTATCCATGTGGGCCAAACTTTTCTTAGGATGCACGGAAGGCCGCACCTGGAAGGGCTGCTGGCGCTCACCCTCACAAACAAGCCTGGTCCCTCCCCAGGTTTTGTAGTCAGTGAATGCTTCTGTTTTGAGCAAAAAGGCTGTGCCATAGGCTTAGCCATTTCTGAACTTAAAACCCCCGGCTTGTTTCAGCAATTACCTGGTACACAGGATCTTCAACATCCTCTTCCAAAATTGTCTATCGCAGAGTGAGGGCAGGGAGGGTGCAAAGCAGAAGATACAAAGGGAGAGATGTGAGCCGTTTGGAAATTACAGGACAGTAAAGAAACCAGCACTGGGAAGGAGAGGCTGGCAGGTCACTACAGCAGCACACACAGCGAAAGCCCAAACCCCTCCCCTGTTGCAACAACAGCAGCAAAAGCAGCCTTGTGCCTTTAGGGCTCTGCCACAGCTGAAATCTTCCTCTGGATTAAAGATTTCACTTTCTCTAACATATCTGGAGTTTCAGAAAATAAGGGATCATGCCTAACAGCTTGTTTTGGGTGCCTATCATTTACACGAAACCTTTCATCTTTGTTTATTTCTGCTTGGCAGCAGCAGGAGAAGACCTGACTGTCAGTTTTCACATCTGTTTATTTTAAGCCCAATCATCTCCTAAATTCACAGGAATACCTGGTACACGGCTTGTTCACACTGCTTATCCTTTTGTGCCTTTTTTTCCAATTCTTCTCTTTGCTTCAATTCGTAAATGAGTTGAAAGAGATCTCTCAAGTCCAGAATCACAGGTTCAGCCTGCAGTGAAACGGGGTGAAGCTCATTAAGAAGGGAATGGTGCTGAGCTGCAGTTGCCAATTTTTGTTTTTGCGGCTGCAACCCACAGCCCTTCCTCTCCCTATTAAACTGAAAGCATTCCATTCTTAATTAATTCTACCTTGTTTATATTGGTTTAGCAAATTGCATCTAGGCTAAAGTTCATTTCTTCAACTAATTATATTTGCAAATTCATAATAATCATAAGCATAAAAGACATTGCTTTTATTTATTAGTGATTTTGAATACAATAAGATTAGGGCAGGCCTTATGTAAAACAGCTATTTGTTTTCTCTTATTTTCTTTTTAAATGAGGCTATGAACACAAGGAAACTTATTTGTATACTGTGCCTCCATCCAGCTTAATCAGAAAGGAAAATAATTAGTCATTAGGAAATATCCATTAGGAAAAAAAAACCTAGAGTGACTGGTCTGAGTATGCTTCCTGTTGCAAGGCTGCCACCTTTGAGCTGGGGAGCCAAGCCATAGCTGCTGCTGGTGGTGCATGGCTTGGCTGTACATAAGGGTGACAAGGAGAGAGTTACAAGTCCCTTGGATGGGATACTCACCGCCTGGGCCGTTTTTATGGCCACAAATCTGTGATTCCCTTCCTTCCCACACACGTATCCAAAGGCCCGGTGATCTGTGATGTCCTTTGCAATGTAGGAGATTTCGTGCACGGCATGATGATGCTGGAGAGCCTGTTGGAGACAAAAGGAAGAGCATTATTTCCGGGGACTTCCCCTTCAAGCTGTTGATCAATAAGAGCTGTGTTTCTGCTATGTGTGAACAGGCCCCAAGGGTTTTTGGAGAAGCTGTCCAGATGGAAGGGAAAAGAGCTATGCCTGCCCTTGAGAAGGGGAGGCTTCCCTCCATGGTCTCGATGCTGTGACCAGAGAGACAAACAGGACTGCTCAGTGCTGAGGGACCATCTGCGGCAGCAGCTGCCTGTATGAACTCGCAGGGCTTGCACCAGTCACTCTGAGCCAGCTTGTGTGCACCTGCTCGATCGTTTATCATGACCCAGCCCAGCCTCACCTCTGGCTGACAGTCAATACCTGTATGCACCCAGGGCTTCTGAATACTGGGGCAGACCCTGAACACTGTACACATCCAGGGGTGCCATTACATTCAGCACCGTGGATGGATCAGCGCGGTGATGACACCTTTCCCACAGTTGATGGCAGAACGTGTTGGAGAATCGACACCTTTCTCTATTTTGTCTGGGGTAGAAGTGAGGTCACTCACAGCTCTGAGGCTTTCTGTGGGGTCAGTCCCTCTGTTTGTCATACACATTCTTTTGTCCCCTTGCCCAAATCCTGTTAGAGACTCCCCCATTCTCTTCCCACAGAGATGATGCCTCCCCCTCGTGTGTTTCTGTATAACCATCATCTCTGCTCACCCAAAATTCCTGATGGGCTGTTCACATGGAGCTCCGTGGCTTCCCACATTCACATATCTTCCTTCCCTGATATAGTGCTCTGGTTTCCCATCTGTCTACCACACCAGGCCCTGTCATCATTATCTCTGTCATTTTAGCACCTTTTATTGTGTCTGTCCCAATAGTTACCAAACTAAATAACTTGGGATTGAAGATCAGTATTTTGGAAATCTTTTGAAAATCACCTTCCCTTCCCATCTTTTTTATCCAAGCTTGGACAAATATTGCTCACCACCTATTAGGTGATGGTGATCTTTATGTTTATGTTCCTGTATGAAATATACTTAAAGCTATATTTATCTAACAATATTCTATGAAGGTTTATAGGGGCACTTGGGTGCATACGGTATATCTGAAGTCCTTAGGCAAAGCCTTTTCATTATACTGAGTATCAAGAAGCTTGAATTCTAGTCTCTGTGTGAACACAAGGTGCCTATTGGACCTCTTGGGATGTCAGGTTTTTCTTCTAGCCAATGACAGTTGTGTACCAAATCAATGGCTCCTTACCCAAGTCCTGGATCCAAAAGGGTCATTGATGTGAATAAAAAGAGGTCCCAAGCAATTTTCAAAATTTTGGAAAGCTAAACTAAATATTCTAATATGTCTGGATACTTCTTTGTGTACTCAAATGACATGCTAGGCTTATTTGGAATTATATCCAGTTATGGTTGCTATACTCCTTAGGTTGTATTTGAACATATTCTCTTAATGACAACTAGTTATGCTTTAATAGTCCAAATAAGAAAATAAATGATTGTAAGTGCAGGGTTTTTGTGTTTTTTTTTGTTTTTTTTTTTTTTTTGATCGCATAAAATCTTTCCCATTAGTGAGTTCACAGAGGAAGGGAGAAATATAGCCCTTGGGAAGCTTGTTACAAAAACAGCGGGAATCACTGGAGTAGCTATTCTCTAAGCTCTTGTTCCATCTCCCCATATCCTTCAAGTCACTAGGACCTCTATCCACAGAGCCAGGCTCCTAGTACACAGTGAGGCGGTCGTCATTGGTTCAGGACCACTGACCTTCCAAAACATCCATAACTCAGCCCACTGCAATCCTTCCCAGCTTCTGGCCACATGAGTCATTCACTGCAGTGGAATTTTCCATTTTGCTTTAACCTTCCAGGGTTTGGCAAGTCACTAATCTCTCTCTAACAATTCTCAAAGGCTTAACACCATGACCAGTTTGTGCACTGACCACCGCACATCACGTTTGAAGTAGGATGTCACTGTCTGGCACCCTAGTCCCTCAAGTGGCAATAAGACAACTGTATAATATAATGAGTTTTGAAAGTTGGTGTTGGTAAAGAAGGAACTGTATGTTGGTAAAATAATCAAGATCTACTTATGTTTGTTTGATTACCAGAACAGATTCAGCTCACAAAGGAAAATTGCTCCAAGAGCAGTAGCTTTTTCATAGTGTTAATGATGCAAACATTGATGAGATTTATATTGCACAACATGGGGGCATTGATTTCTATGGGCTTTTGTGCACCAGGATGCTATGCAGAAAGGGGAAATCAGAGACAAAGATGCTCTTCTCCTCTCCTTTCGTCAAAAGCATTTCTCTTTCTGCATCATATGGAGAATGTTATCCACGTCTTCTATTAAATCAAAGTTTGACGACAGTGCCTTATTGATTGTCAAGTGGAATATTGCTCTAAAATTAAGCTGCGATTAGAAGACTTCCTGGTGGAATTAGATGTGGAGATGATTCTGCAATGGTAAAATATCACCTACCATGCTAGACAGCAGATGGAGACGTTTTAATTTATCCAGGAATCCTCATTAAGTGTTTTAAAATCAAAACATTCTTAACGCCTGACGATACTTAATGTTGCCTTGCAAAGTGTAGCTGTGGATGTGTGTGTGAAGTGCAAAAAGATATTTGTAACATTATGTTTTCCCATAGTTAATTTTATGACATGTTAAAAAGGATTTCTCTGAAAGTGTCTCATTCATTTGGAAGCTAACAGTCAGTACAGGAAAACGTCTCTACATTCTCCGATCTTAACCATGCAGACATAATATAGATACTTGGAAAGACAAATACATTCGAATTCTGTTAATCCCACAGTTGTATTATCACATTCATTTTAGCAACTCAGAGCGTCGTGTAAATACTTGCTCACTGAGCCTCAAAATTGCCCATGTCTTCAAGTAGATTTTATCAGCACAATCAAAGACAGCTGAAGCCAGGAGGAACCTGAAGTATTACACAGCTCAACTCTGAGTCTATTCATTGAAGGGACAGAGATTGTACTGGCACGACCAGTACAAAACCCAGGACACGTCTTCCCACGCCGGAGGAAAAAGCATTGAAATAAAGAAACACGATTATGTAGATTGATGGCCTCCTTTCTCGAAGCTCCTTAGTCAAACAATAAAAAGATGATCACCTGACAAGCTGGGATGAGGCAGGCAAGAGAAGGAAGCCCTGGCTAACGATGTGGAACTGAAGCTATTCAGGTTTGGGCAGGTATCTGAGGTTAGAGAGTCACAAATGACAAGGCTTGGGGTAAAGGCCAGCTATAGTTTACCTCAGTGAACTTCAGGGTCATGCTACCTTGACCTTTGACTCTGAGTGACATCTGTTGAGTACCCAAGGCTGGAAAGGTGAGGAGAGCCCTTATTCAAAGCAGACAGAGGGTTTCTGTGAAGAGTTCCTGGGGCAGATTCAGGGAGAACAACCAGGGAATAGGGCGCTGGAGCTGGAGGAAGTGGGTGGAGAAAGGGCAAATTCTGGTCATGTTTCGTCCCTATTTCCTTTTGCAACAGTTCTTATTTTTGGAAAACTGTAGTCTAGATAGATATTCAAGTACTATGAAAAATCAAAGCAGGTGTTTGGTCTTAAAAACAGAGCCATCAGGGACTCCTTCCCTCTGCCATATCTTCATGTATTCCTCTCATTTTGAGCCCTCTTCATTCTTTGAAGCATGGATAAATGTTGTCACTAAAAAATTCCAAGACCATCGCAGGCACGCACATCCACAGTCCAGCGTGATCCTGCTCCCATGACTGCCATAAGGCTCATCATTTCCCCCTTGGGATTTTGTACCTGCCCACCTCTGCACCGTTGCTCATGTATTTCTCTGCTGACTGCCTTCTTCTTTCTCTGCTTCTTGCTTCAGCAAGTCATAGAGCTGCATCATACCTATGCGTCAAGGCACAGCTCCAACATTTCACTCACCCAAGAAGCATTTCCTGGCACCCACATTGCCTCAGTAACAATCCCCATCCCTAGGCCCACTGCATTGCCTTTGTTGATATAAGATGCTGTGCACTCATTAATTTTGTTTACATTTGGACATTCATCCAGTTTTTCACACCAAATGTATTTATTAAGTGCTTACTATGTTCCAGGTCTCATGCTACTTGCCACATATCTGCAAATAATTAAAAGGTAGCCCGTTCCTCAAAGAGCTCTCCATTTCATACAACAGGTAAGTAAAGCAAATGACCATCAAAATATAGGAGAAGTTTTGTCTTGAAAGTGTACACAGCATGACATATGGATTTTGACCAGTCCTGGGAAAAGGGCATCAGAGAAGATGACCAAGGAGAAGACCCTGGGCTGAATGTGGAAGGGTGGATGGGAAGTCCCCAATAAGTAAGTGGGAAAGGGTATTCTCAGAAACAAAGAGCATGCAAAAGTATCCAGGTCTTGAGAGCAGGACATTGTGCCCATGTGTTTTCTCTTCTTGAAGGAAGGACAGACGGACGGACAGAAAGAAGGAAAGAAGGAAAGAAAGAAGGAAGGAAGGAAGGAAGGAAGGAAGGAAGGAAGGAAGGAAGGAAGGAAGAAGGAACAAGGAAGGAAGGACCAAGTCATATTAAGATACGTGCTTCACAAGTCTGATGCTCAAAAGAATGTTCATTGAATAAATCAATCAGGTTAATTCACAACATTTCACATAGGATTCATTCCATGAACAGAGGGTTTCTTACTTGATCATCATTAAGTCTTTTTATTTTTGCTTTTCCATGAACCATTTACCAATGTTTAAATGAAGTATCAAATTGTTTGGAGGGTTACCGTCTGACAGCATAAATTACAGAGAAGACTTAATTTGTAGTATGGTTCAATACAGCCAATTAAATACAGTATGGATTAGAAAGTCATCTGCGGCAGACGTTACCATTAGCTTTCTTTTTTTAAGAATAAATCCTAGCCTATTTAGCCTTCATATTAGTGTTGTGTATGCATGTGTGCATGAGAGCGCCTGCTTTCCCGAGGCAGTACTATTCACAGGGAAGATACCCA